CCTGCCACCATACCGGCATTTAAATAAAACCACATATTTGTATCAAAGGGATTCTCAAAGATTTCATAGTGTGTGCCACATTTTAAGAGTTTCCCATGGAACCCTCTCCTCCCATTCACGCTCATGTCTGTGTGGCAAATAGAATATTTGGCTACATGGAAAAGTAATGTTAGGAAAATATTTAATGTATGTTTCACTTCTTTCAATGCACTTTAGCAGCTGGAACAAAAAGAAGACCCAGCACAACCAGCCAGCTCTCCTCTCACTACCAGGAAATGCTCTGCACCAGTGGTTCAAGGACCACAGTTTGAGAATCTCTGGTATAATATTAAGTAGCATTTCTTTAGTAATATAGCAATAGTGCACACACATGCCCTTTCTTTCTGCAGACCACTATCCTGGATCCTGACAATCATACTCAAGCTTTGCACAGCGCTTGTGTTGTGCAATAAAATCTCTTTTAGCTGTTAATTGTTAATTATAGAAAAAAGCTTTTAGAAATGGCAGGCATATGAGTGATAAACTTTGGAAATCCACAGCCAGATAAACAGTTTGTAACTAGCATTGCTGTGCTCACAGTTCCAGTGGTGGTCCTCATGCTCTGTCCAGACACGTACACTAGAAGTCCATCTGAACCAAAGCCCTGGATCTGAACATCCTGAACTTTGGAAACATTTGGATCTGGATCCAGATATGAAGTTTGTATCTGGCTTTAGTCTATATGAAGTGTTGAACCAAAAGGCCAGATTTAACCTGCCTCTGACCTTTTGGGAAATGGAGATCTGGATTTGAAATTTGCACCACAGTCAATTTCTGTTACATAGTGCTTTATCATATCATAAAAAGAAGAAATTGAGAGGAATAAAAAATAGCTTCCATCAGTGACTTAAAAAGAAACAGGATAGAAACTTAAACAGTTGCTTTTTGTTTTATTGCTTTGATGTGTTCTGTAGTTTGTATATGCTTCCCACTACCCCCAAATAGGGAAGAGAACTGTTTGAGCCAATATGAGAATGAAGAAACTTATTCAGTGCTTCAGTGAAAAATCTGACTACATTTAGACTCCTACTGTATTTCAAAGGGATCTTTGAAAAGATAAAAGTGCATTTAATCTTCACCACCATTCATACTCACTTGTATTCATTGTAGCTTAGAAATCAATTTTATTTGATAGGAAATATTACTAGAAATGTGGCTGTCATGATTGGATGAGCATTTTGAAAAGAAATAAAACCACTTAGAACAAGTAAGACTCAAATATTGCATTGGGATGCTACAGGGTCAAACCCTGAGATGGCTTATGGATTCTGATGCAGGCCCATGATGACCATGTTACATAACTAAAGTAATCTCAGATATTCCTAACAGCCTCTTTTCATTAAGAAATTTGAAATATTTTAATGTTGGGATTGTTCCCAATAAGCTCACTAAAGCTTTAACGTGCACATGCTGTATAAAACCTGATCTAAAATCTTTGAAAAAACAAACAAAACCACCCCACCACAGGCAGAAGAACCTGCAATTTGTGTGCTGGAAATGATATAATCTGGAGGATACATTTATGCAATGGTTGAGAGAAAAGGATGCCATCTTGATTATGCAGTGCATCATCAGTTCTGAGTTCTACAAAAATGGTAGCTGAAAAGAAAAGATTGGTCGCAAATATTGCAGTTTTGCCTTTTCAAAAATTGAAACACTTAGGTCAGTTTCATTTTGTATGGTAGTAGTTTCCTTCAACATTATGTTATGGTTTTCAAACTGTCAAGTCATGTCATCATTAAATAATTGTTCAAAATAGGCCCTTTTAAAAAATATCCACATGGGATTTGTGAACATTTGTCCTTAAACTGTGTGGTAGATTTCATGCAGAGAAGGTGTGATTCTGTGACTTTTTAAAGATCAATTCAAATAGGATTATATGGATGAGACAAAGATCACAAAATGATAGTAAAAATGCTTGCAAATATAAAAATAACAGGAGCTAGTCTGACTGTAGAAAAAAGTCCTCCTTTAACTAAGGAAAAGAGGAAAATCTCATGAAAATATGATGAACCATAAGCTTGATTTAAAATAATGTAAAGTATATAAAGAAAGGTTACATTCCATGATAAAAAGAAATGATGTACACAAGATACTACAAGCAACAAATAAAACTGAGTTGCAGTGGCCTTTGAGTCCAATTTGTAAACAGTTGTGGATTTGAGCAATTATTCATAGCGAGTAGATCCACTGCAGTCCTGTGAGCAAATTTACTCATATGCAGAATCAGGTCCTTAATACCATATAATATTATATTCTACTGTACATGAGACATTCAAATGGCAATAAAGAAATTAGGCTACCATCTCTTAAGCAAAGTAAGCAGTCATGGGATAAGAGGGAAGGTTCTCTCATAGATTAGTAACTGGTTAAAAGATAGGAAACAAAGTAGTAGGAATAAATGGTCAGTTTTCAGAATGGAGAGAGAGAAATAGTGGTGTCCCTCAGGGGTCTGTACTGGGCCCAGTCCTATTCAACATATTCATAAATGGTCTGGAAAAAGGGGTAAACAGTGAGGTGGCAAAATTTGCAGATGATACAAAACCACTCAAGATAGTTAAGTCTCAGGCAGACTGCAAAAAGCTACAAAAGGATCTCTCAAAATGGAGTGACTGGGCAATAAAATGGCAGATGAAATTCAATGTTGATAAATGCAAAGTAATGCACATTGAAAAGCATAATCCCCACTATACATATAAAATGATGGGGTCTAAATTAGCTGCAGATGTTGTCACCCCACCTCAAAAAAAGATATATTGGACTTGGAAAACGTTCAGAAGATGGCAACAAAAATTATTACAGGTATGAAACGGCTGCTGTATGAGGAGATATTAATAAAACCTGGAATTTTCAGCTTGGAATAGAGACGACTAAGGCGGGGATATGGTAGAGATCTATAAAATCATGATTGGTGTGGAGAAAGTAAATAGGAAGTGTTATTTACTCCTTCTCATAACACAAGAACATGGGGTCACCATATGAAATTAATAGGTAGCAGGTTTATAACAAACAAAAAGAAGTATTTTTTCACACAATGCACAGTCAACCTGTGTAACTCCTTTCCAGAGGATGTTGTGAAGGCCAAAACTATAACAGGGTTCAAAAAAGAACTAGATAAATTCATGGAGGATAGGTCCATCAATGGCTATTAACCAGGATGGGGTGGAATGGTGTTCCTAGTCTCTGTTTGCCAGAAGCTGGGAATGGGCGACAGAATGGATCACTTGATTACCTGTTCTGTTCATTCCCTCTGGGGCACCTGGCATTGGCCACTGCTGGAAGACAGGATACTAGGCTAGATGGACCTTTGGTCTGACCCAGTATGGCCGTTCTTATGTTCTCAACTCCCTTTGACTTTCAGTGGGAGTTGGGCACACAGCTTCCTTAGCCCCTTTTGGAAATCCCATGTATAAACTGCAGTGGGTATCATTACAAAGTCCTCATTTGTTCTACCCCTATATGGGTATTTGCAATACCTCAGTTAGTTCAGATAGCCTTGTGTGTTTACAGTGGGTAAAAATCCTTGTAATGGCAACTTCTGTATATAAAAGTTACAGTTCGGCCAGTTACTCATATTAATTCCATGTACTGTGAGCCACTCTTTTATTTGCAAAAGGAGGCAGTATATTGGGACCTGGAATTTAATTTGATCTCCATTCTAACGGAAAGGAAAGCAAATATTTTTGGCTTTACCTAAAACTATATTTTCTAGGCAAAAGAGGACAGATATTTAACCGGACAGACATCTATAAGCTGAAGGGGCAAAAAACCAACTTGTCCTAGCATCTTTGATATCATTAACTTCCTTTGTCTTTTAATAATACATATTATAGCTTTATGAAGTCACATGTGCACTTTTTTTGTTGTAAGGAAATTCAGGGTCACACTTGATATTGAAGTTCTATATGTAAATAGGTTATAAAGGCTTAGTAGATGTTTTCCTCAATGTTAAATCAGTTATTGGAGTTCAAAACCACAACATGTTGCTTATAAGCATTGACAGTGCTATCTACAGAGGACCTGACCGACATCTATAAACACATGCTGATCGTATTTGTAACATCTAATCAATCATTTAATAACCCTTTATAAACAGAACTTTAAAGAAGAGTATGGCCACATTCAGTTTACAACTTTCCCCTAAAGTAATGTAAGTCCTTTTGCACTTTCTGAAAACACTTATTTATGATGTACAGCAGTGGTCTCACACTTTAAGACCCAGCATGTCACACATCGAGAACTCAAAAATACTTGCTATGCCACCTTTTCAATTTTAATTAGCATAGTTCTAAGGGATCTTACATTAAATCTAGTGTCACAGTTTAAACATCATTCTCTTAGGTTTCTGAAGAGAAAAAAGAATTGGAAGATCTGATTACTCAAAAATAAATATACTTCAAACAATTTAGCATACATTTCTTCCCTTACACTGCACTGCCACTCCGCTAGGTTCCTTAGCATTGCTTTTATTTTGCAAGCAAATATTTTGCAGCCAACAATAGACTGTTTTGTTAGTAAGCAAATACCATCATTACTGAGCAACTTTAGAAATTATTTTGTAAGGAATGCTTTGAGGTGGAAGGTGTTTAGATTTGTTTTTCTCTGTATATCGTAATTGGATTACATTGTTTAAAAAGACATACAAAAAAAAAAAAGAACCTCCCTGGGACTGAAATACTTTGTATGTGTTGTTATTTGCAGTGCATGCCAAGACATTCATGGGCACCAGAGCCAAGCTGGCGAGCTAATTAAATATATAAAATGTATGTGTTTAAACAGCCTTATAAGGAGCATTGGAAATCTGCAAGATGAGCGAATATCTTATAACTTCTTCCGCAGGTGCGAGGATAGCTACAAGCCATGGACTTTCTGTCCTGCTTCTTGTTTGTGGCTTTGTGAAGGGTGCTTTGCTTTAATCTAAAAGTGCTGACTTTTTCCAATATCACTTTCTCTTCTTAAAGCAAAGAGCAAATCGCCTGTAAAATCCACGGAGCGGACAGCAAAGTTGACCCTAACCTCCAACCACCACTCTGCACCCAATGTACTCTAATTCTCTACACATGGAGCACCTTCAGGAAGTACAAAAAACAAAACAAACAAATATATATATTGTTTAAACATATAAATATATATACGAAGAGGATACCACATTTTCTTGATCTATATTATTTTCTTTGCTGTATCACTGATCATTTATTTGAAGAGAACGGGTGTGATGTAACAGGACATTTTGTAACAGCAAGACCTAGTTTCCTTTTCTTTCAGCAAGTAGAAGCATCACATCCTTGACTGCTCAGGGGTTGGCTTGCAAGTCATCAGTATTATACAAATTCACTATGGATGATATTTGGTTTCCTTCTTTGAAAGAACTGTGGCAGCCATGAGGCAAACAGTGGCCAAAAATAAATAAATAAAAAAAATAAACCAACAAAAAATCCAAGAAAACAAAATGACTCAGCATCACCTCTGACAAAAAACACCTCAGAAACTTTGATGAAAAGCCTATTTTTTTTGTGGGGGTCGGGAGTGCAAAACAAAAATACCAACATTGCAAAGCAACTAACAGGACTAGAGGACGTTGTTTCTGAAGACAAGCAAGAAGCACTATTGAGGTTTTTTTTTTTAATTTTACTTTTTTGAATTTTTTCCTCTCTTTTTTTTTCTTCCCCCTTCCTTTTCCTCTCTTTTCTCTTGGTTTGTTTCTTGTTCAATGGTGGCAGTTGCTGACTTAGGCCAACCCCTATTGACTGTGTGGTGGTAATATAAATACATTTTTTTGTGTGTGTGTGTTCTATATTTCGATGTGTTTTCTCTAATTTTGCAACTCCTGTATATGCAAAACTAACTTCAATTCTGTAAATTGCTTACAGTATGTGTGATATAACTTCACAGTAGACATACCATGGTCCTCATGCAAGACAGTTTTTAATATTATCTATATGTCGTGCCACCAACAGATATTTTTGTTTCCTTTTTTGATGAAGCATTATTTTTTAATTTGTAATTCAGTACTGTGTGGATTTTGTAATACATGCATTCACTTCCACTGGTTTGACCCCTTGCAGATGGCAATGCAGCCCTCTGTTTACTCTGTAAAATGCACATTAAAATTTGTTATGGTCTCTGAACAATGAATTATTTTACTTGTGTGCATGCTATGTTGGAGTCTGGTGGCTCAAACCCCTTTTAATTTATAATGTTTATTGAGGATGAAATGATTTTATCATCAGAGAATGTAAAATGTAAGTCTGCAGGCAAATACTGCATGCAGGCAAGGTCAAGAGAAAAAAAATCAGAATGTACTCCTGGAAGATTTTCTTTTAATGATGAGTTTTAGTCAAGTGAAATTTTTACAATGATTCACTCAATTCACCCAAGAACTCTTCCTGCTATGGCTAAAAAGGTATCTTTTTTCATCCTTTCTGTAGGTGGCTAGCCATTGTTCTTTCATACTCTTCATTATATTACTTTATGCCTATGAAGTGAAAATGAAAATGTTGCTTTGGCTGGAAGTAATTTACATAACATGAATTATATTAATTAATGAAGGAAGGGAAAACTACAAATATTTGTTGATTAAATCAGCTAGCTTTTAATGTCCTTCCCTCTTTTCACCCCGATTGAATAATCCAAATCCTTCCTGCTGTTTCATATACTAACACAGACAAACATGTTACAATACTTTACATGGTTCAGTGTACTATTTACTAGAGGACTCTGTAACTATGTCTGGTCAGCTATAAAAGACTGACCCCTCAACCTATTTTTCCCCTTATAGACAAGAAAAATTAGCCTAGCTACATTTAACATCCTACAAGTATAAGGCCTTTATATTAAATTTTAAAAGACCCACAAAGACCCTATCCTTTCCCCCTAATGCCAATAGCAAAACTCTCATTAATTTCAAATGGGAGTAAGCTCAGACCATATATCTCCAGGATAAAAGAACTATGCACTAATGCTTTGTGTCTTAACATATTCATAAATGATCTGGAAAATGGGGTAAACAGTGAGGTGGCAAAATTTGCAGATGATACAGAACTACTCAAGATAGTAAATCCCAGGCAGACTGTGAAGAGTTACAGAAGGATCTCTCAAAAGTGGGTGACTGGGCAACAAAATGGCAGATGAAATTCAGTGTTGATAAACGCAAAGCAATGCACATTGGAAAGCATAATCCCAACTATACATATAAAATGATGGAGTCTAAATTAGCTGTTACCATTCAAGAAAGAGATCTTAGAGTCATTGTGGATAGTTCTCTGTAAACACCCACTCAATGTGCAGCAGCAGTCAAAAAAACGAACAGAATGTTGGGAGTCATTAAGAAAGGGATAGATAATAAGACAGAAAATATCATATTACCTCTATATAAATCCATGGTACACCCAGATTTTTAATACTGCATGAAGATGTGGTCATCCCATCTCAAAAAAGATATATTGGACTCAGAAAAGGTACATAAAAGGGCAACAAAAATTATTAGGGGTATGGAACGTCTGCTGTATGAGGAAACATTAATAAGACTGGGACTTTTCAGCTTTGAAAAGAGACGACTAAGGGGGGATATGATGAAGGTCTATAAAATTATGATTGGTGTGAAGAAAGTAAATAAGGAAGTGTTATTTACTCCTTCTCATGACACAAGAACTAGGGGCCACCAAATGAAATTAATAGGGAGCAGATTTAAAATAAACAAAAGGAACTATTTTTTCACACAACGCACAGTCAACCTGTGGAACTGCTTGCCAGAGGATATTGTGAAGGCCAAGACTATAACAGGGTTCAAAAAAGAACTAGATAAATTCATGGAGGATAGGTCCATCAATGGCTAATAGCCAGGATGGGGAGGACTGGTGTTCCTAGCCTCTGTTTGCCAGAAGCTAGGAATGGGCGACCGGGGATGGATCACTGTTCTGTTCATTCCCTCTGGGGCACCTGGCATTGGCCACTGTTGGAAGATAGGATACTGGGCTAGATGGACCTTTGGTCTGATCCAGTTTGGCCAGTCTTATGTTCTTATGTCTGGATAATATAACGGTTCAATCTTCTTTGGGCTGTTCACAAAGGCATTTCTAGTGACTTAATTTGGAAGATTCACAAGAGTAAATGAAGCACAATTTGGAGCATAATTTATGTTTGAAAAAATATTCAGTGCATTCCTTATATATCCTAACATTAGTCTCTTTGACTGCTAGCAATTGAGCTAGCAACATGATAGTGTGGTCTTTTTTCAGAGCAGTTGCAGTGAATTTAGAACCCAAAATATACAATTAGTAGTTCAATTCATTCCTTCTAACATACATTACTTTTCCTTTTTCAACAGTGAATTTCACCTGTTACTGTACTAGCTAGATGTATTAGGCCCTTCTGAACTTCCTTCCAGTCTTCTCTAGTCTTGACTAGTGCTAGCTAGAGAACAAGAACTAAGGGGATTTGTTTTGTTTTGTTTTAAAAGAGGTTTAGAAATTTGTTTTTTTGTTCTGCATTGGAATGACACTGAAACCCTTCAAAGATTAAGAGAGAGGGAGAGCCAAGTGGCATGGGCAGTAATCTAGGCTGTGACAGACTTCAGTTTAAGTTCTCACTTTGCCTGATTCGCTGGGCTATTGGTTCCTCTGGGGTCAGTTGTTCTTTGCTTTTCATCAGAAATTCCATCTGGAACCTAAAAAGTGTCACCAAACCAATGCACTTCCACAAAGTTTCAGTTTTGACCAATCAACATTTTCCAACAACAACAACAACAAAAATTCACACACACACACAAAAATCCTGACCAGCTTGAGTCTTGACTAACCTAAATAACTTTGTGTCATCTGCACATTTTGCTTCCTCATAATTTATTTCCTTTTTGCTTTCCCTGATAAATATATTTAACACCACAGACCTTACCACAGACCCCTGGGGCTCACCGCAGTTAACTTTTTGCTGTGTGAAAATTGACTAGGTGTTACTGTTTGTTTTCCATTTGATAGACAAAAGTTAAAGCCACTCAAAAAAATTCAATACCCAGGTATTTAAATGCTTGATTGGAAAGTTTATAATATTCATTTGAATATATAGTACTGCTTCCAGAGTATATTATAAACGAAAAAACATTACAAGCTATTTTAATTATCCTTACTTGGTAATCATAGAGTCAAATCTCTCCTTTCAGTCTATCAGCATCTCAGCAACCAGAAGTCCCATTGATTTCAACAGGAGTTTTTTTGGTGTTCAAGTAGACTCAGGGTCAGGCACTGTGAATATCATGCAGTAGGCATACGTCATAATATCCAGCTTAGCTTGCTGTGCCCTAACTCTTGTTTTTCTTGTAATGTATCCATCCAATGAAATACTTGCTATAACTGATTAGTTGGTGTTGGTCCTGCTTTTAGTAGGGGATTGGACCAGATGACTTCCTGAGGTCTCTTCCACCCCTGATCTTCTATGATTCTATGAATCTATGTGATGGAGATTAATTTTCTAATGATATTTTTGTACCATTAAGCAAAGTAATAATACCTCTACCCTCCAATTTTCCACTTCATCAGCAATTAAATATACCAAAACAGTATCTTCCAAAACCAGAAACACATCGCAAACTGTGTGCGAACGAGGACAAACTGCCTGAAAAATAGAAAGAGCTTGATGTATAAACACATGGAATTAAAGAAAAGGAGAAAAGGAGAGAAGGGCAAGAGGCACAGCTACAAAATAAAAAGTGGGAGGTAGAACTGAAATTAAAAATGGGGAGGGGGAATCTCCAGATATATGGTATTCCAGGAAGTGTGTCCATTTGTGGCATATGCTGTGGTAACCATTATCCAATTCAAGTTCATATAAGACTTCATCCTGCTAGGTACTGAGCACTTCCTGCAAGGTCCTCTTCCTCAGTGCCCTCAAATCCTATTGGCTGTATTAGTAGCTGAGAACACTCCACATCCCATAAAATGCTCTGCATTTTACAAGATGAGGCCCATAAAGAATTGCTTTCCTGGGGAAAAGTAAAACGTGCACTACTTTGTAAGGTGCACATGTTGAAAAAATATTTTTCTGAGGGATTAAAAT